AGAGAGAGAGAGAGAGAATATGCAGCGACTGCATAATGTCAATTCTTCCCCCTCCCCTCACCCCACAACTGTATTTTCCTACTCAATTCTTCCCCCTCCCCTCACCCCACAACTGTATTTCCCTACTCCTATTCCATTTGGCATGGACTTCCAAAAGAACGAACAAATCTGTCTGGGAAGAAGTGTGGCAAGATTGTTCCTTAGATGCAAGGATGACAAGACTTCATCTCCTGTGCTTTGGACGACTTGTCAGAAGAGACCAGTCCCTGGGGAAGGACATCATGCTTGGTAAAGTGGAGGACAGCAAAAAGAAGAAGGCCCACAACGAGGTGGATGACGCAGTGGCTGCAACAATGGGCTCAGGCGCAGGAACCGTGGTGATGGTGGCGCAGGACCCAGGACTGTTCCGTCTGTTGCACCCGGCAGTGTTCAGACTGCTGCTTTGGGCTGAAATGGACTCAATGGCACCTAACAACAACAAGTCCAGTGTAGTTTTCTTGCTTCCCCTGCAATGGTGAAACTCTTGGACAAGCTTTGTCCATAACAAAGAAGACTCGTTTCTTTCTGATTAAACTAAAAATATCCATATGTCTGTATCTATCCAAACCAAACCCACTGCCATGGAATCAATGCTGACTCATTGCAACCCGTGATGGGTTTCAGAGACTGTAACTGTTTACAGGAGTAGAAAGCCCACAGAGCTGGTTTTGAACTCTCTCTCCAGATCCATATCCTTATCCATAGCCATAGCCATAGCCATATTTATATGTATACTTAAGGGAGCGTCTGGACACAAGACTCTTATAAGAAATTCCTTCAGCAGCTATCAGGAAATTTTGCAAAATAATTGTCTTGGGACCGCTCTGTAAAATGCTTTTTAGTCCTGCATTTGAACTATGCATGCAGGTTTAATCCAAATAGCCTGCATTTGTGTTTCAAATCAATCACTGTAAAGCTTCTACTTCAAGTTGTCCCACCTCTGGCTTCCTTGATCTTGCAGCTTCCAATCAAAATGTTGTATCTTTAATCTTTGATTTTACCTTATAAACACTGCTCTGCTGCCGCACCATTTTGAAGCATTTGGTTTCATTATGTAAAATCAGGCATGTTCCTGGTTTGAATTTTTTCAACCTTCAATAAATCTCTGTTTTTATCTTAACAGAATATGTCTTCTTACTTGAAAATTTTTCTAATAGGGTATTCCAATTCTTTAAGGAATTTTCTCTTATGCTAACCTAAATCCTGCTAACCTAAATCCTGCTAAATCTGGAATGATTTTTTTTTCTTAGAGTAAAATATAGAGACAGAAGGACGGGTGTATGCCTTGTATGCTTAGAATATGTGGGAAAGGGGAAGGTTCTTTAAGAACAGGACTTTTATATTTTTAACACTAAATCAGTATGGAATATCTAAATCTTTTAAAATGACCATTTGGCAATTGATTTTTTTAAAGCCAAATTTAATAACACCAGTAACAAAGAAATTCCTGAATATTAGAACCTATGTAGGCATTGCTAAGAAATAGAGACACACAATGAAAATGTAAATGTACAAATAACAGGTAAAGAAAAAAATTAAAGTAATGTCCATTGTCAGGCTGAACAGTAAATGCATTGATTTGGCATCTGTTTTAAATAGGTTTGGCATCTTATAGGGGTTGCCATTAATATTGTGTTTAGATCTACCTCTAAAAAGTATAGACACATATTTATGTACTTTTGGCACTTAAGCCTCTGCATTCGTATATACTATAATGATAACTTTAAGAAAAGAAGGAATACTTTTAAAAAGAAGTTTACTCTAAAGTACAAATATTATCCCACTTGATATGAACAAGGAGCAAGTTATTCTCAGCATGGTGGAGGTGGAGTCTAGGCTTCTCTAGGTTGGTGGTGGAGTTGCTTTGAGGATCAAAATAATTGTGCTCTGTCACTGGGGAGGCCTGAAAGAAAAAAAATATCTATTTAGTTTCTCACTCTCTGCCAGAAAGATCACCTTATGGGGTTTAAATTAGCCCTCACACAATCTGAACGGTAGTCATTTTTATCCCTATATTACAAACAAAAAAATAGTAGAACACAGCTAAACACAAAGTATAGATTGGAGAGGTTAACTAGTGCCTCCAAATTTGCATTCTTAACTATTATGTGAAATAGCCTTACCTGATTTTAGATCTTCCAAACTGCAAAGTTTATATTATTTACTAGCTATTACTCTCAGCAAAATATACAAATAAACCCTTTTATAGATAAGGGAGCATTGCAAAAAAGGCTCATCTTGAGCGATGTGCAGTTGGCCTCATTTTGCTCATTGAGAGAGCTAGTGTCCGGATCTATCAGTAGGGAAGTAGAGCAACGAGGAAGTAAAAAGGTCTGCTGAAAGGGGCATTAGGCTTCTGTAGGGCAGAGGAGAATACTGCCTCTCATAACAAGGCATTTAACCAAAGATTTTATCATGCCATCAGTTCTTTGTATGCGTCCATTCACTCATTTATTTATTCCCTCCGCACTGTCTAAATTGAAAAGCTCATCTAAATACCTTCTGTGTGCATAATGCTACACATTACTATAATTTCAGAGTATTTTTTCCTTAAGGATAAATAATCCAAGGGAGGTAACTATAAGGCAGAATAAATATTTACTTACACACCTTTTGCAAGTATCTTCATTGTTTTAATCTTTGATTTTTTCCAATCTCTTTACCTAAGATTGTTCTGATTTTTCCACCATAACTTCGTCTAGATAATGCAATTATCAATATTTAAATTATTTTAAACATGAAGCTTCAGGGTTTGAAAGGTTCAGTGCTGTTTGCAAACTCACTGCAACCAGAGACAAAAATCTATTTTTTCTTTGTTCTTAATTTCAATAAGAAAGCTATGCAAGTAGGAACAGCATGGGCATTACTATATTGAGATTTTAATCCCTGGAAATAATTCTAAGATATTTCAAAAATGAATATATTTCAAGGAATGTTAATAATAAAATGGTTTTCCTCCCACCACCCTCCCCAAACGAATTAGAAAAGTGGACATCAGATTCATGTTTTCAGTTTTCAGTATTGAATTTTCCAATATAGAAGCTGCTTTGGGTCAGTATTTCTGGGTATTTCTGTGCTTACCTCTTTGTGTGCTTTCTACCTTATTCTTCTTAGAGTTGTATTTTGCTGGGTTTTGTATATTATTCTTCTTTATACTTTTGTGGCTTTCATATCAATCCATAGTTACTTACACACCTTTTGCTAGCATCTTTGTTGTTTTAATCCCTTTACTTAAGATTATTCTAATTTTTCAAGTGTAATTTGTCTAAGTAATGCAACCATCAATCTTTAAGCAGTAATTTCATTAAGCCATGTTTGATCTTGAAACCCCAAAGAGATTAAGTTTGACATTAATATGCAGAAAAGCATTTTCTATTTCTTTATTTTCTACCATGGGATTGATAAGCATATAAAATGAATCCTGAGTGGTTGGTAATGAGATGCGAGAAGACTGATAATATTCAATAAAAATGTGAAAAGTTATATGAAAGGAAGCATCATCCAACTTGTTTATAAGAAGGAGAGTTCCTAATATGAATCTATTATGAACAAAAAATAATTATAACATTACATTCTGAAGCTTAGAGCTTCATTTGTTATTATGAGTCCCAGCTAAGGAAAATATGAGGGGGCTTCAAAAAGTTGATACACTAGAATACAAAGGTAATACATTTTTTTGTCTGTGTGAACTCTTTGAAGCCCCCACTTATCTCTAGCTATTTCAAAAGAAGAAATAAACCAATAAAATAAATTAAAAATCAGTGATAAACCTTATTAAACAAAAGCAAACCAATTCAGAAAACAGCTCTTTCCTAAATAGATTGCTTCAAATTTTGGATAATTTTTTGTTAGCCACCCAATTCCCCTTTTGGTATGAAGACATATTCATTTTAATAAAGACATATTCAATTCAATAAATCTATATCCCAGAAAATCTCCCATTTAATGTAAATAAATGTCCTTGTTTGTTTTCCACTTTACACAAATGTGACCTCAAGGAAGGTGTGTTAGTCTGGGTACTTTAGAGAAGCAAATCCACAGAAACTCATGTATAAGAGAGAGTTTTATATAAAAGGCAAGTGCATATCAAGAAAACATCCCAACACAGTGCTGCCCAAACCCACAAGTCCAACACTGACCCATATGTATGACACCAATTCACAAAGTCCTCCTCCATCTCACAAAACAGACGCAATGATGCCGACTGCAGGAGGAAAGCCAAGTCAGTGAACGTGTAAGCATCTCAGCTCTGGCAGGGGTCTCCACACGGCTGCTCCAGCACCCAGGGCTGCATCAGGGTAAGTCCGTGTGGCTTCTCCTCGGGGATGTCCTGCAGGAAGTGAGCCTTGCCAGCTAAAGTAGGGAAGGAACTAGCTAAGGCAGCTGCACCATGGTCTGACCATCACAAAGCAAGAGACCCGAGAACTCGAAAGGCGAGGCTCACTGAGCCATTTATCTCTTAGCCCTTCAATTAATCCCACATGTGTTTATTGGCCAGGTTGGAAAAATAAACTTTAACTGTCTCAGAATTTTTGGATGAGGGACAGGGAAATGGACATCTAAGTCATTAAACATGGATATGATGTCAACGGATGCTTGATATCTGGTTAGCTATAATCTATTAATGTTTTGAAATTGAATTTAAACCAAATTAAAAATAGAAAATGTAACCTTAAATGCTTTAAATGGGAACATAGGATCTATCAATGCTTAATCCTTTCTTTCTTAGATCTCTGTGAGACTGAATATTTTCTTTTTAAAAAGTATTTGTATCCAACTGAAAATGAAACATCAGGGCAAATAACTCAATATACATTTGACCTTTTGCTGAGCATTAAATAATTTTGAATTCTATTTTAATGGGCTTGTTTTCTTTTCTCTCAACAGGCTGAGTTAAATGAACCAATTGATCCTTTCACTAGTACAAAAGTTCCATCAAATGTAGGGGATGAAACTGTGTCCAAATACATAGGATGGAGAGTTGCCAAGACACTTTCCAACCTATTCTTTTCCTCCACGGATGACCTGGCTTTTCCTTTGAAGAAACCACAATCAGGAGTTCTAATGAAATATCCACAGAAAAAGGAGGATCCCAAGAAGAAGAGACTTCTCCGTTTCAGTGTAAGGTAAAGTGAAACACCATTCAAAGTAGTTATGTTGTTCCTAACATATTACATTTCAAAATCACAGAAATCCTATTTAATCAGGTGCCACATTAGTTAACCCAGTTTTTCTTCTTCAACTGAAATTTTGACTAACACCGCCTACATCTATCCTGAGCAAGTTATTCTTTTATTAGAAAGTTTTCTCATGCTTAAAATATATATTATCGTACAATATATATTTATGGAATTCTTTTGTGGGGAGTACAACAGACTAAAAATATAATCGTATTATTATATTTTCAAATCTTTATTTTATATATTTGTAAACTTAACAAATACGCTTGTTTGTATGCATCTAGTGTATCTGATTGTCTTGAATATAGACATTCATTACGTGATAGTTATGACAATGATTATAAATTTTTATGTTGCAACTCCTCCATAAATGTCTTTATATTTGCTTCTAAAGGCTTGGGAAAAAATCCTGCACCTTGCAAATATTTATTTAAGTCATTAAAAAAATTATCTTACTGATCTTTTTGCTCTTTACTTTGCTATTTGCTAGTACATTTAAGGTATTACTAAGCTTGGTATTATTATTTAAGTATAATTAGATATTTTCCACACGTGAACCTTTTGACAGATTAAAAACTAGATTAAAATTTACTCTGTTGAAATATAACATAATCCCTGCTATATATGTTTAGTTTTTCCACAAAAATTTGAGGCAGGAACTTTTGATTTATTCTTTAATACAAGCCATTTAGAAGCCCCATTGTGTCATATTTTTACCAATTTATTTCTGACAAGTTCAGAATGTAGGTAGGGTTCTTTCATATTTTTTATTTCATGATATGTGTCGATTCTCTGTTGATAAAAATGTTCTCAAAAGACTGCAATTGACAGTTTAATTTAATTTTTACTCTGCTACTCCCTCTATCTTTTTGTTAATTGTTGACATTCTTGATATCTTTCTAGTTGACGGGTGTTCTATATCACATCCATCTCATACAACCCATTTGTTCCGCTTCACTTTTTTCTCTTAAAAATCTACTGTCATCTTTTAACGCTATATCCTAGCTCTAATACTCTTGTTCTTATCTCTAGGCATCTGCTACTTTTTGGTATTGGTTTGTTTTATGTTGCATTTCATAAGGTGTTGAAGCAAATGCCAAATATTTGGGGAAATTCTTCACCAGCCCACTTCTAATTGAAGTTCCCAATCGGCAGGCTGCCACTGTGCAAAGGCAGATTTGACTGCAGGTATGCGAACCAAGTGGAGCAAGGCCAGGAAGAGCCCCTTCTTTTGAGCACACAAATAGTCAACAGAAAACAAGACACATGTTGATGTAGTTTTAAGTGTTTTGTTTTTTTTAATTCTAAAAGAGATGAAGAAATATATAGATAGATTTGGGGTTATGTCTCACAGAACCTGGACTTCAATCAGTCTTATGCATAGAAATGTATATTCTAAAAGCAGTCTGCAACAAATAGTGTACATAGTTGAAAAATTGTGGCAGGATCAAAGTTGCTTGAAAGTACTAGATTAAGGGCCATTGAAATGGATTTTACTTTAGAAACACCCAAGGTATTCTATATACTTTTCATGACCACAAACATGGAAGGTAAATCCATTTGGGGCTACAGAGAGAATGTTAGACATGTGTACTTTGCTCTTCCATCATGGAAGTTCAAGGAAACAAAAGCAAGCAGAAAACTAGAACCAGCAGGAGAAACTGAAGGTGACCCAAGGGAGATGAATGACATCGGCCAGG